TTTCGTAAGGATTGGCTTCTCGCGCTTAGCATATTGAATGTATTTCTTGATGAAGGGTATGCTGAGGACTTCAGTCCTTCGGTTCGAGCCACGTCCGACGGTGATTGTAACGCCGGAATGTAACATGGGGTTGAATTTCTCATAGACTTCCGTCGGACGATTTGCATCAGCGTCGGTCTCAAGACCAACACCAAGCAGCTGAGAGCCCTCCTCACGGACCGGTGCACCCTCCTCAGTACCAGGCTGGCGGTAACGGTGCATGCGTAGGACATGCTCAGAGATTTGACGGTCGCGTGCATCTTCGATGTCATCTGTTACAACGAACAGCAAATCGAAACGCGATAGTAGAGAATCCGGAAGAGCAATGTTGCGATGCGGATCCTTGTGGATATCGTACTGACCGAAGATGGGGTTGGCAGCTGCGATGACACTGCAACGAGCATTGAGCGATGTATGGATGCCGGCTTTGGCGATGGTAACGGTCTGTTGCTCCATGACTTCGTGGATAGCTACGCGGTCGACATCGGACATTTTGTCGAATTCATCAATACAGACGACACCACGGTCAGCGAGAACCATGGCACCAGCCTCGAGACGTCGCTCGCCCGTCTCCTTGTCCGAGGTGACAGCTGCCGTGAGACCGACACCAGACGAACCGCGACCCGTTGTAGCGATGGCAAGCGGGGCGGTATTCAGAACGAAACGCAACAGTTGCGACTTGGCAGTTGAGGGATCACCGACCATGAGAATATTGATGTCTCCCCTCAAGTGAGTGCCGTTTTCAAGGTTCTTCTCTTGTCCTCCCAGGAGGAGCAGCAGAACCGCCTTCTTGATATAGTCATGTCCGTAGATAGATGGAGCCAGTGATTGTGACAGCAGTTCGAAGACGCGCCTGTTCTTGGATATTTTGTTGATGTTGCGGATATCGGTATCGGTGATAGAAACCTGGGCAATGCCACCGCCGGACTTGGAAGAGAGGAGGATAACGTTGTTCGCTAGGATCAGGGTGCGGAAAGTCGAGCTCCCGGCACCAGCGTTGCGATTACCGAGTGAGCGGTATATGCCGACCATCTGTATGCGGTCTCCCGGCTTCACACGATCTACCAAGTCATCGTCCAAGATGACATCGACGGAGCGCGGTAGCTGACCAGCAGGGGCACGCTCAGGCATTTCTTGGATGGAAATGGTCTGGTGGTCGCGGTAGATGCAGTAGCCGTACTCAGTGACGAGTGGGTTGCCCTCGCCATCGTCGGTCGGGTAGACGCTCGTACTCGCAGCGCCGGTGGTCATGGTCTGATCTCTGTACTCTCGCGAATGGAACTTCTGCTTGTTCTCGTTGTAGTGCACGCTCTTGACCACCTTGGGCCGCACGAGAGACGTCTTGGTGACGATTCCCTCGAGCGACACCATGTGGTTCAGCTGGTTTGAGCCCAGAGTACGCGGGTTGCACGAGTACTCGCCGAAGCTGCCGATATACGCGCAATAGTATACCACATCGTCGCTTGTCTCGGATTTGGGTCGGTCGGTGAATGTGCGGACGACGTCTTTGAGGGCGCGGTCAAAGGCTTCGGTGAATTCGAAGGGCGAGTTGAGGAGGCCGTCGGCGAGTTCGCGGTTATGTGAGCGGATCTCGTCTATGCTGACCTGAATACAGTAAGTATCTGTAGACGCTTGTAGCATACGATACTGACTGTGAGTCTTCGCAGTCCTCGGTTGAGCATCACCAGAATGTCTGCGCGGTAGCTGAAGCGGTCAGTGCGCGCTCTACAGGGTAGATGGCTACTGTATACCTTCGTCTGGAGACATCATCTGCACCATAATTAGTATTCGTATCATTCCAACAGTCGGCTTGACATACCTGGGTCGAGGAACTCTTGCGCAAGACGCACGCGCCTGCGCACCTCCTCGTCTCTGATGACCTCGGCCATGGTGTATTATGTGACTTCCGGGGCAGAGAGTGACCAATCGTTGCAAAAAGAACTTCAATGCAGCGTAAGAGGGGTATTCGAAGTGGGTATATGGAGGGCGTATTGTTTTGGCTGTTGCTGCGGTGAGCGCTTCGAGGGGCACCAGTTTCGCGACACCAATTCGCGTCGACGCTAGTCTCTTTCCGTCACGCGTTCCTCCCATTAAACATCCTCTTTCAGCCTGACACCAATCAGTCATCTCCACCCTCCACGCGCAAGTGCCCGATATTTCAATTGTACTGTATCTCCTCGATTCAACTCACTTATCTGTCTGTTTGACTTGAGCGCGTTTTGCCGCCCTGTGCAAGACGCCCCGCAATGAGAAGGTGCGGTCGTGCCAACAACAGCTTCACATCGACTTCGCCGCTTCATCTCCGTGAGCTCTCTTCGGCGCTTTTCAAGGGTCTGAATACCTTCTCCCGGCAACGCTATCTCGAAGCATCATGAATACGGCATGTGGAGCAGATGCACGACGGTCGTAGCCGGAGATACCATGGCCATGTCGGTCGACGTCACCCACTATGTTCCCGAACGAGCTACTGTCGCCGGTCTGCAGATATTGCCAACATGATATATGGCAGATCTAGAGCGACTCGCCCATCCTTAGTCGCTGCCGGTTCAACTCCGCTAACACCGTACGCTTACCTTTGATGCATTCTGACGTAATGATACTGGCCGCACTTGACGTCGTCTATCCTCTAGGTATATGAAGAGCCACTGCAACGCTCGGGAGGCTTATTGCAACGTTTGCACATCTTTCTAAATCACCAACACTCAAATCCTCGCCTTAGCATCGTCATCATGGCACCCCGCGTTTTCCTCATTACTGGCTGCTCCACTGGCTTTGGCGAAGAATTCGTCAAGGTTGTTCTGCAAAAGGGTGACTACGTTGTCGCTACCGCACGCAACTCTTCCAAGCTATATTTCGAGGGTGCCAACGATTCGAACAGTCTGCTCGTGGATCTCGACGTGACCAAGAAAGAATCCATCGACAACGCATTCGATGCGGCTATCAAGAAGTTCAAGAAAATCGACGTGGTTTGCAACAATGCCGGATACGGTCTGAACGGGCCCTTTGAGACCTTGTCGGAAAAGCAAATCAGGCAACAGATGGAGATCAACTTCTTTGGCCTGATTGATGTAACAAGAAAGGCTATGGAGACCATGCGAGATTTGAAGTCTGGAGGTGTCATCCAACAGGTGACGTCAATCGGCGGTCAGATTGGTGAGTTTGAATCTAATCTATTCTTGTGTTCACTGCTGATGCTCACTAGGTGTTCCTAACTTTTCCATCTACTGTGCCAGCAAATGGGCTGTTGAAGGATTCACGGAGGCCATTTCAAAAGAAGTGAAGCCTGAGTGGGGAATCAAGTTCACTTGCATTGAGCCCGGTGGTTTCCGAACCGACTGGTCAGGCCGCAGTATGGACTTCGGCGAGATATCGAACCCAGCCTACGCACACGTCGATCCCAAGAAGCAAGCTGAAGGGCGCCATGGCTCTCAAGCAGGAGGTACGTCATGGTTAAATTGTTACATACCGGACGACCGCTAACAAACTCCTCATAGACCCGGCTAAGGCTGCCAAGGTGTTCTACGACTTGGCCGTCATGGACGACCCGCCTATCCGATGCGTAGTTGGAACCGACGCGTACAGCCTTCTCAACAAGAAGCTTGAGACTTACAACGAAAGTGTCAAGAAGTTTGAGAAATGGAGTAACAGCACCGACGTCGAAGGCTACAAGGCGCCCAACTAGGTACCGGAAATGAGCAGGTAAAATAAGAACGCAAAACCGAAAGAGGCAGGTAGACAAATGTGTGGTTCTCGTGCGGAGCCCTTGCACGACCAATGCCGAATAACAAGATTCGTTCCAACACTACACTGCATTTAGATCTTCATGTCGATACAAGTCTTGCTCATTGACACTGCAGTAAGGATGGCTACCTTCCACTAATACTGATACTCTCGGCACTACAATATGTGACGGCAGTATACCTCGATATGCTTACTTCGGAATACCAATTGTAAAGGATTGGCTGCAAGAGTATGTATCGTCACACGGCGACGATGTTGTGGCTGTTGCCACGTTGCGCCCGACCAGAGGGTTTGACTCAAATCCGGTACGTGTCAATACGACCACATAGCATACTAACGACGATCAGTGGTGTCATTATCGAGAACTAAGGACTCCCATGTGGCAATACCAGCATCGCGGAACAAATGAAACGTTTGGCGTTCATTCAGCTGTAATGGCGGCCACTGGATCTGGTGGAGCAACGTTCCACTCAAGTCCCGGTACCAAAGAAGGCAACGAATCGAAACTAGTCCACGAAGATCGCATCTCCAGCGCACAAAGCCTGAGGGAACAGCCCCTGACATCACTGGTACTACTCATGCGGTACATCGGCCAACGGTGTCGCAGAGATCGTGATAGTATCGGCACTTCACGCATCCGAATACGTACACGACCTCCAAGTATTGCGTGCTTACAGACCATAGGTCCACGATTCTCGAAAGAAAGCACGCTCGACGATGTCACACGACTCTCTTCATGCGCTCCATGGCGGACGGGGTACTGCTACCGGCCTAGGCTTTGCTTGCCACCACTCCCTCACCGCTGTATATACGAGGCCGAAGTTTGGGGGCTTGAAGAGCACATCTGACTTTCCTAGTTCGAGAAAATGTGTCCCATGATGGAATTATGCGCTCTTCACACAATGAAAGGTGGTCGCGGGGGCTCGCACCAGACTTCCGCCGACCAATCCCCGCTCACATTATACAACCTTTACATGTACCCTGGTCACGAGAACTACACCTTTCGAAGCCAATCCTACCGCCGCTTACATCGTGAGCGTCAGAAACAGGCAGCTCCATCAGCCCTCTATTGTGGCTGCAAACGAAGCTGCCTTCAACTCCAAGTGTCGCTTCGTGACCCCTGACGTACTTCACCCTTCTTGTATAAAATCTGCGATTGAGTGTCTATTTCTTCGACACCCAGAGCATTCAATACTTGTTACTACTACTCATCTTCGATTATGAGGCACTTTGGAAACACCATCCGGGACTCGGGACCGGCAAGGTTTACGACTGCACTGCTTACTGCGCTCCTGATCACCAGCGCTACCTTCATTCCATTCCTCACACAGGGCGCAGTCGCAAACCCAGTCCCTGTACCGAGTCCTCAGCCAAATCCTGATCCTAATCCTAATCCTCAGGACCCTCAAGCTGGCAGTCCCACAACTGATGGCTACTATCCCGACCCAGAGCCATGTCGCGGCAACTGCTCTTGGATTCATGATCCTAGTGTTATATATGAGAACAATAAGTACTGGCGTTTCTCGACTAGCGGCAACATTGCCGTTGCCAGTGCGCCATCCCTGGGAGGGCCATGGGAATATGAAGGCGCGTTGTTACAAAACGGTACCAGCATCCAGGTCCATCCGGATCAAGACATCTGGGTAAGTTCATTCTCCCTCTACTGAATCTTAATCTGCCACGCATCATCCTAACCAACACAACAGGCACCTTCAGTAATGAAGCGAGGCGATACCTTCTACTGCCACTACTCCGTCTCCCGAATCGGTCTCCAAAACTCCTCCATCGGCGTCGCAACATCGCAGTCCCTCGAGCCCGGTAGCTGGCAAGACCACGGCGACATCGGCCTCCCCCTATCCGACAAGTACAACCTCATCGACCCTTTTGTGTTTCAAGAGACACCCAAGGACCCCATCTACTTCACCTTCGGCTCCTTCTGGGACGACATCTTCCAGGTCGAGCTTTTCCCACACGACGACCTCATGGCTTTTGGCGGATGGGCTGAGCAAAATAATCGTATCAATAACATGGTGCGGAATAGTACTTACGGGGCTACTGTCGCTGAGGGTGCTATCATGTGGAAAGAAAAGGACTTTTACTACATGTTCTACAGCGTGGGTATGTGTTGCAATACGCCAGAAACTCCAGGAGGTCTTGCTCCTGAGGGTCAGGTATACCACGTTGTTGTATGCCGCTCGGAAGTTCCTACTGGGCCTTTCTATGATCAGGAAGGAAAGAGCTGTCTTGAGGAGAATGGTGGTACGACTATCCTTGCTAGCCACGGCGATATCTATGCGCCTGGTGGACAGGGCGTTATGGTCAACCCTGAGAATGGGAGGACAGTGTTGTACTATCACTATGGTAAGCAAAAGACTGGATACGATGCGTTGAAACCAAGCTAACGTTGATGCAGTTCGTCCGAGTGTCGGCTATGCAGCTGATCAGTTCTTCTTTGGATACAACTATCTTGATTGGGAAGACGGCTGGCCGGTCGTTGTTGTTGCTTGATTGACTGCCATTCTGCCACAACTAACGCCTGTTCTCTTCCCATTTTCCTGAATTCTTGGAGTGCCGCGTCGGTAAATGTCTCTGGGATGGCCATTTCAGGATCCACGATTTACGACTAATGACCTTACGACTAAGACTGTACTAGACGCAATGTTTGGTGTGTGTTGACGGAGGATGTGGTTTACCGGAGGCTTTCGGCGAACTGATGAGATTACTGTTGGACCATGGCTATGGATATAGTCCTGACTCTTTATCGTAAATACTAGTTTGTAGTGTTATTGAGTCCAGCTTTCAGATAACGTGTCTTGCAGTGCCATGGGCAGCTCATGGGATCCATCTCACGATGTCTTGAAGATGCACTTTAACCCACTCGTCCCTCTTTGTCAAAGCTCCCAGATCATCAGACTTTTCTCTCAGCTCATGCGCTGCATACTAGCCTTTTCTGCCGCGCGGACGCGCTTAGTTTCGGAAGTGGTGGGATGAAGCAGCCGCAGGGCCGATTACGCGGGGTAAAAATAACTCCCATGGTCATGATGTCGCGCATGCTGAATCTGATCAATTGGTCTTACCGAGGAGACAAGCTTCTTGTAGTGCTATGGTAGTGGCATCAGGAACCCGGTGCTGGATCGCTTTCGGGTTGTGATTCCCAGCCCCCAGGCTGATTGTAGCCTCAACCGCGATGGACGCTTGAGGGAGGTGCATCATGGCTATTGCTCGGAAAGGTTAGCCGCCAATGACGTCACCAATCGGTCCCTCCGGCGGCTGAGATCGCGCCATGCCTATTTACCTGCCAAGTGCAGCACAGTGAATACAGGTTATTCCATCCTTGTGGGTCAGTACAAGACCAGTGCACGCGACCGATCGCCTCTCCGTCGCCTACGCCTCACTCCTCAGCCTCCCTCTCCAGCCTCACCATCTCTACCATCGCTACCCCGCGCGATTGCTGATCGCTGCGCACGGTCGCCAACATGCCCTCCCAAGAGAAAGGCCTCAAGAAGCTCTTCCATCCCTTCAACCATCGCGCTTCTGAGAAGATTGAGGAGATTGAGCAAAAGCTCGAGCACACCAAGTTACGAGGTGCGCATATTAAGGCTGTGCACATCAAGCATAAGATCGGCAAGTTCACCAACCTCTTCAATGCCAACCATCGCCACGACGAGGAGCATGAGAAGGAGACGGACGCCAAGAGGAGCAAGATCGCGGACAACCACCGCTTCCATAGCTTTGCGCCAGAGCGCGACAACAACTTGGTGAAGTGGTATGTCGACGGTAGGGATTACTTCTGGGCCGTTGCCGAGGCATTGGAGCAAGCCAAAGAGACCATCTACATTGCGGACTGGTGGCTCAGCCCTGAGCTCTTCCTGAAGCGACCGCCCTACTATAACCAGCAATTTCGACTGGATCAAGTACTCAAACGCCGTGCAGCAGCTGGTGTGAAAATCTATGTTTCCGTGTACAAGGAGGTGAGGTCATCAATCTGCGTCAAATGAACGGCAGCTTATACTTACTCAGGTTTCCGCGGCTCTTACATGCAACAGTCAGCACACCAAGAAGGCACTCATGGGCTTGTTTGAAGAAGGCGAACCTGGGTACGGAAACATCAAGGTGATGAGACATCCTGATCACAATGTCTTCGAGAATGCTTCAGATATGACGTTCTACTGGGCGCATCACGAAAAGTTCATCGTCATCGACTATGCCATGGCCTTCATCGGTGGACTGGATTTGTGTTACGGCCGATGGGACGACAAGCAGCACCCGCTTGCCGATGCCCACCCTTCAGGTGTTCAGAACCAAATCTTCCCTGGTCAGGACTACAACAATAACCGTATCATGGACTTTGAGAGCGTTGATGATTGGAAATCGAACAAGCTGAACAAACTCGAATTCGGTCGCATGCCATGGCACGATGTCGCAATGGGTGTCATTGGCCCAGCGGTTTACGACATCGCTGAGCATTTCGTCTTGCGATGGAACTTCGTGAAGCGAGAAAAGTACAAGCGCGACGAGAGATACGACTGGCTCACCATGGAAGGACGTGAAGGCGCCGACGAAGATCTGATCGGAGTGCAACGGCCCAAGTTCCCTGTTGGCCAATATGTACATCATCCCCTCACGCAGCTGAACAGCAAGAACCTCGACAACCGTGGAACTGTACATGCGCAATTAGTCAGAAGTAGCGGCGACTGGAGTATGGGCATTGATCCTCATGAGCAGAGTATCCAGAACGCATACTGTGAGGTCATCCGTAACGCGCAGCACTACGTCTACATCGAGAATCAATTTTTCATCACGGCAACGGGTAAACACGACCAGAGCCCTGTTCACAACCAGATCGGAGCTGCAATGGTTGACGCCATCGTTTCGGCAGCTAAAGAGCAGCGCAACTTCAAAATCGTCATTGTCATTCCAGCAATCCCGGGATTCGCGGGAGATCTTCGAGATCAGGCCGCTGCTGGAACACGAGCTATCATGGACTATCAATTCAAGAGTATCTGCCGAGGAGAAGAAAGCATCTACGGACAGATTAAAAAGGCCGGTGTCGATCCAGAAAAGTACATTTTCTTCTTCAATCTTCGTTCATACGACCGCATCAATGTCACTCCCACGCTTAAGGAGCGCGAGAAGAAGTCCGGGAAGTCGTACATGGATCTGGAAGCAGCTGAGATTGACGAGCTGGAAGCACCGCCGGAAGAGGGAGGAGACGAGGCACGACGCAAAGCCGCTGAGATGAGGAAAGCGTACATGGATGAGGAGGAAGATGTGGGCAAAGGCGACCAGGGTGGTGTTATTGACCCAGACTCGATTGCCGATGACGCGATGCTTACGGAAAAGAAGCCCAGCGAGGAAGCCTGGGAAGGCGAAGAGGAAGAGGAGAAAGAGCACTTCTTCCAAGAGGAGCTCTACATCCACGCCAAAATCTGCATCGTCGACGACAAAACCGTAATCTGCGGATCCTCCAACATCAACGACCGCTCCCAGCTGGGCTTCCACGACTCCGAGCTCTCCATCGTCCTACAAGACACCGCAGAGATCGACATCGAAATGGACGGCAAGCCCTACAAAGCCGCAAAACTCGCCCACGAACTCCGCAGCAGCTTATGGCGCGAACATCTCGGCCTCCTCCCACCCCAAGCCCTCAACGCCGCCGACGACCCCAACGCGCAACCCCCCGGTGAAAACTCACCAAACGACCCCATGCCCGGCGCAGAAGCAGACTTTGTCTCTGACCCTCTGTCACCCAAGCTCTGGGACGAATGGAGGGAGCGCGCGACTACCAACACCGAGGTGTTCAGGTCGCTGTTCCACGCCGATCCTGACGACAACATCCTTACGTTTGAGGACTACGACAAGTTTACGCCGAACCCGTCGGGTGATAAGGAACATAAGCAGGGTCATCTGTATGACATGGTTAGGCCTGTAAAGGAGATTAGAGCGGAGTTGGATCGTGTCAAGGGGCATTTGGTGTGGATGCAGTTGAAGTTTTTGGAGAATGCGGATATGGCTGAGAGGGGGCTGCAGGTCAATTCTTTTACTGAGAGTGTGTATACTTGAGGTGGATACATGATGGTAGGAAGAGGTGGCTATGGGAGGTGACTGGCTGTTGGCGCTGGGCGATTAGACGAGTCGCATCGGTGTATCGTTCTCGTCGGTTGTCTTTTCTTTATGATTCCCTATTACGTATCCTCGACGTCTTTATGACCTGAATGAATGCATCTTCTTCTTATGACGATCTGGCTGTGCTCCTTTTGCTATGCGATACATGTGATGACACCGAGACAGGTAAAACTCTGTTGAAGACCACATAGGTACTAACAAGTTCGTAGTAGCCGACTCACATTACCGCGGAGGTCGTCAACTCAACACACAAGAACACAGAAGCAGACAACGAGTATATGAAGTCCCGAAGGCCCAGTGTGATGTTCCAATCGTACAAACAAACATCTTTTGTAGTCCTCAACCGACTTCTATGAACACCCAACGAAATCTCTTCTACCCTCTATCGCCTCCTCACCTCCACACCACCCTCCCCTTCATCCTCCATCTCCTCATCGTCGTCGTCATCATCTTCCTCTTCCCACTCCAAAGCCTCCGCAAAGCCCCTCGTCTCACTCCCATCCGACACAAACAGACCCGTACCCGCCGAAGTAGGCACAGCCGACGAAGGTGCAGCAGAAGGAGACGCAATAAATGTCATCGCATCCTCGTCTTCACTGTCCGGTCTTTCCTCTTCTTGTCCAAGCTCAGATTCAACGACGGACTGCTGTGTACCATCGTCTTCCCACGCCAACGCCGCCTCAAAGTTCTGTGCTTCTGTCTCGTCGCGCACGAAGAGGTCGCCTGATCCTGGTGACGTGGGGGCGACGGACATTTGCTCGTCTTCGACTTGATCGTTTGGTGGGTGGTCGAACTCTGAATTGGAGTAGAGTGGGGATTGGAGGGTGAGGTCTTCTTCCTCTTCCTCATCCGGTGGTTGCTCAAACTCAGAACCTGGGTATAGCGGAGACTGGAGGGTGAGATCTTCATACTCATTATCTGGCCTCTCTTCGAATTCTGGAAGTGGATACAGTGGTGACTGGAGGGTGAGATCTTGTTCCTCATCGTCGGTTTGGCCTTCATATCGTGGTCCTGGTGAAGGCCGGACGACGGGGTACTGTAGGTCCGCGTACTCATCAAACGTTGGTGGGGGTAGGGGAGTGTTTTGCGCATCGGAGTCGGATATGGGGTCGTCGGAGAGCTCCATTTTATCCTCGTCCTGCGTCGGTGGCGGCGGTAGGGGCGCGGTAGGCTGATGGGAGCCCGGATGCTGATTGGAGTCTACATCCATGCTCGAGTCATCGCTTGACGACGACTCCTCTGCAGACGAGATCTCAATTGGTTGACCGCTTGAACTACCTGTAGTCGGCAGACGAGACGTAGACCCACCAGCCGGTTGGCGAACAGCTGGCCGAGGAGGCAACATTGGCGCAACAGGTGCACGAACGGGTACTGCTGGAGCT